GTGGACTTGGGGAAGGGCATGCATGCAGAAAGGGGGGAGGGTGGGACTGGGAGGGGAGGAGGGAGGGGCTTATGGGGGGATACAAAATGAATAAAGTGTAATTAATAAAAGTTAAATAAAAAATTAAAAAATAAAAGAGTATCTCTCTAAATCCAATTTTCCCAGTCATATGATACACATATGCAATAATTTCTTTAGGAGAATAGTCCTCACACATGATTCAATTTTAAATACTGTATTTTATTTAAAACTGGAAAATTATTTCCAGAACAGCTTCACAAATGTATGCATATATATATGTGTGTGTGTGTGTGTGTGTGTGTGTGTGTGTGTGTGTGTGTATGTGTGTCTACATTGTATATGCATCCCAGTTTCTCCAAAACCTGGTCAATTCTGGATATTATCTGTCTAGAAAATGTGAACTCAATATTCGTATTCTTTTAACTGAGATCTAAAATTAATGATGAAATTGATAATTTTTAGGGGTGTGGCATAGGGACAGAAGAGGGAGAGAGGGTGGAATTGGGAGGATACGAGGGAGGGGGCCACAGCCAGGATTCAAAGTGAACACATTGTAATAAATAACGAATTAAAAAATTTTGACAAAGATGCCAAAACCATACAATGGAAAAATGATAGCATTTTAAACAAATGGTGCTGGTCTAACTGTATATCTACATGTAGAGAAATGCAAACAGATCCATACTTATCATCCTGCACAAAACTAAAGTCCAAATATAAAGACCTCAATATAAAACGTGACACACTAAACCTGTTAGAAGAAAAAGTGGGGAAGAGCCTTGAACTCTTTGTCACAAGAGACAACATCCTGAACAGAAGACCAACAGCATAGGCTTTAAGAGCAACAATCAATAAATGAGACTTCATGAAACTAAAAATCTTCTGTAAAGCAAAGGACACTGTCATTAGAAAAAAAAAAAAAAAAAACAAAAGACTGCCTACAGATTGGGAAAGGATCTTCACCAACTCTATATTTGATACCCATCAGAATGGCTAAGATAAAAAACTTAAGTGACAACATGTGCTGGAGAGGATATGGAGAAAGGGGAACCCTCCTCTACTGCTGGTGGGAATGTAAACTTGTACAACCACTTTGGAAAGCAATCTGGTGCTTTCTCAGACAATTAGGAATAGTGCTATCTAAAGATCCAGTTATACCACTTCTAAGCATATATCCAAGAGATGCTCAAGTATACAACAAGGACATTGGCCCTTCCATGTTTGTAGCAGCTTTGTTTGTGATAGACAGAAGCTGGAAACAACCCAGATGCCCCTCAGTTGAGGAATGCATACAGAAATTGTGGTACATTTACATAATGGAATACTACTCAGCAAAACTAGAAAAGATCATCCTGTGTGAGGTATCCCAGAAGCAGAAAGACACACAGGGTATATACTCACTCAGTAGTGGATATTAGACATATAATATAAGATAAACATACTAAAATCTGTACACCTAAATAAACTAATCAAGAAGGAGTACACTGGCTAATATACTCAATCCTCATGCAGAAAGGCAAAGAAGATGGATATCAGAGAGGGAGAAAACAGGGAACAGGAAAGGAGCCTACCACAGAGGGCCTCTGAAAGCCTCTACCCTGCCGGGTATCAAAGCAGATGCTGAGATTATAGCAAAACTTTGGGCAGAGTGCAGGGAATCTTGGGAAAGTAGTGGGAAATAGTAAGACCTGGAGAGGACAGGAACTCCACAAGGAGAGCAACAGAAAAAAAAAAAAATCTGGGCACAGGGGTCTTTTCTGAGACTGATACTCCAACCAAGGACTATTCATGGAGATAACCTAATACCCCAGCACAGATGTAGCCCATGGCAGTTCAGGGTTCAAGTGTGTTCTCTAGTAATGGGAACAGGGATTGTCTCTGACATGAACTGATTGACCTACTCTTTGATCACCTCCCCCTGAGGGAGGAGCAGCATTACCAGACCACAGAGGAAGACAATGCCGCCACTCCTGATGAGACCTGATAGACTAGGTTCAGAAGGAAAGGGAGGAGGACCTCCCCTATCAGTGGACTTGGGGAGGGACATGTGTGGAGAAGGGGAAGGGAGGGGAGGATTAGGAGGGGAAAAGGGAGGGAGCTACAGGTAGGATACAAAGTGAATAAACTGTAATTAATAAAAATAAAAAATTTGAGAGTTTTTATTTATCACATTTCTTCTTCAATAAAGTATAGTTACTAATTGTTTTTGTTTTTGCCAAATTTATTTTTTACGTTTTGACTCATTGTTTTCTTTGATGAATAGACAAACTCGTATCTTCAGGAAACAAATCTTTTGTCAATAACTTTTTGTTTTTTTGTGACTTTTGATGAAGAAAATTCCGATTTAATGTAATAGAATTCATAACTGTTATATTTTAAGGCCAGTGATTTTTTTTTCATGTCTGATTTATGATAGCCCTTCCCTATTTTGAGCTCAGAAATGCATTCTCATTTCTGTAGTACTTAAATTTTACCTTTTACATTCAAACACTAACTTTATTATAGTGGAAAGTAGGGATTCCCTTTATAATCAGCCTTTTAAGTAGCTAATTGTTATAACAGTATTCATTAAAGAGCTATGATGGTGACAAATCATAGTAAACACTGGAGGCTGACACAGAGGTACCATGAAATTGAGGACATGTTTAGCTATAGAAAACTCTGTCTTTAGTCTAACTTTCTAAGTCCTTGAAATTTTAACATCCCTTTTAAGGTCAAAATTGGCACTTGTATGCATTGACTATCTGGTTTTCAGGCATCTTGTCAATCTCATATTCTTGGTCACATTTTCAGTTCATTAATTCAGATGTAACAACCCTGGAAATATACATCATTAAAGTTTCTACCTCATACCAATTAAAATGTCTAACATCAAAACACTCAAGGAATGACACATGCTGGAGAGGCTGTGGAGAAAGGGGAACCCTTCTCCATTGCTGGTGGGAATGTAAACTTGTAAAACGACTTTGTAAGTCAATCTGGTGTTTTCTCAGAAAATTTGGAATAGTGCTACATCAACATCTAACTATACCACTCCTGGGCATATATCAAACAGATGCTAAACCATACAAGCAGGACATTTACTCAGCTATGTTGTGGCAGCTTTATTCATCATAGCCAGAATCTGGAAGCAACCTAGACATCCTTCAACTAAAGAATAGATACAGAAATGGTGGTACATTTACACAATGGAATACTACTCAGCAATTAAAAACAAGGAAATCATGAAATTTGCAGGCAAATAGAATTAGAATTGGAAAAGATCATCCTGTGTGAGGTAACCAGAAGCAGAAAGACACACATGATATATACTTACTTATAAGTGGATAATAGCCATATAATATTGGATAAGCATACTAAAATCTATACTCCTAAAGAAGCTAAACAACAAGGAATACCCTAGGGAAGATGCTCAATCCTCATTCAGAAGGACAAACAGGATAGACATCAGAAGTAGGAGAAGATGGGGAAGAGGAGGAGCCTTCCACAGGGGGCCTCTCTAAGACTTTACCCATCAGGGTATCGAATGAGATTCTGAGACTCATAGACAAACTTTGGGCAGAATGCAGGAAACCTTATGGAAGAAGAGAGATAGAAAGACTTGGAGAGGACAGGAACTCCACAAGGAGACCAAGAGAGCCAATAAGCCTGGGCCCAGGGGGTTCTTCAGAGACCCAACCAAGGACCGTGCATGGAGAGGACCTAGACCCTCTGCTCAGAGGAATTCCATAGACTGCTCAGTTTCCAAGTAAGAGGAACAGGGGCTGTCTCTGACATGAACTCAGTGGCTGGCTCTTTGATCACCTCCCCAAGGGGGATGCAGCCTTGCCAGACCACAGAGGAAGATAATGTAGTCAGCCTTGATGAATCCTGATAGACTTGATAGGGTGAGATAGAAGGGGAGGAGTTCCTCCTCTATCAGTTGACTAGGAGAGGAGCATGGAGTGTGGGTGGGACTGGGAGGAGATGAGTGTTGGGATACAGCCTGGGTGCAAAGTGAATAAATATTAACAAACCAATTAATCAATCAATCAACTAATAAGAATTTGTTTATTATTTTATTTTTCTCAATAAATGTTACAAACATTGTGATACTATAATGGTAGAAATTAATAACTCCTTTGAGGAACAAAGTTGTAACTCCTACAAATATTTATGATTGTTGAGAAGATGCTAAAAATTTAATAATCAAAAGATATCTCATTATCTTTGCTTTCATCACACATCTTGAATCTTCTCTCCATTTCCCACAACAAATTTTATATAAAATATAACATATATATTTTATTCCAATATGTTATATATATATATTTTTATTTGTTTTTATTCATTTTTAGTATCTGCATTTCCCTAGTAGGCTACAAAATCCAGAAGAGCAAGAATCCAACCTTTCATGTTAGTGTGACAATTCCCGCAGAGTCTCATGTAAGGGAGTTTTCACGCATTTTAGGGTGAATAGCATGCAAGATGTATGTAAGAAAAAAAAATGATGAAATTTCTTAGCCGGGAAATCATTTGCCACACAAACATGAATGAACACTTGAGTTTGAGTCCACAGAATTCACATAAAAGGATTGGGGAGGTAGGTAAGTTCTCATAATTCCAGCACTATTGTGAAGGTAGAGATAGATCCTCAAAGCTCAGCTGGAGATACTTGCTTAGTTGATGAGCTTCATCTTCGGTAAGACTCTATCTACTCTATCTCAAAAAATAAAAGTGAGATCAAGTTGAAACACCAGATTTGAACCTAGGATTTCCACATATGTGCACACATGTATTCCTGTGTATGTGCTCACATGCAAGGACATTGATAAGTAGGAGTACCATATGCAAAACAACACATGTAGACATGCAACATAAATTAATTCTTATAAAATTGTAAAAGGATATGCAAAAGTAACTAAAAACACCTCCATGATATAATGCTTCTAAAGTGTTTATCAATAGCTGCTTTAAACAATGCTATTTTGTGTTTTCAGATATTAATATGGCAGGGGAACCCAAACCGTACAGACCAAAGCCTGGAAACAAGAGGCCCCTTTCTGCTCTTTACAGGTAAGTAAGAAACACCATCTCATTACATAGATGAAAGTTTTGCCATTTTATGAGACAATATGATATGCAAGCAATTACCTAATTTAAAACAACAGTCTTTACTCTTAAATTCTGGTGGTAACACATACATAAATTGGAAGCCATAGCAGGTGCTTAATAGTCTCATATTTATTTATATACCAGCCAATTGTGTTCTGTTGCTGCGACAAAAAATGTTTTAGAGAAACAACTTAAAAGAAGACATACATTCTATCAGCCCATGCTGAGTATTATATGGTTGTATTGTTAGTGGGCTTTTCATGATAGAGTCTGCTTTTGAGAAAGGTCAAGGAAGAACACAACTGCCTCCTCTGTGGCATACAGGAAACAGATGACAACAAAGGAATAAAAGTACAGCTTGCAGAAGCATGCTTCCAGCGGTTAAGTTTTCACAACTGGACCCCCATTCGATTAGCCCACCCAGTATGAAGGCAACAGACTGATGCATTTATGAAATCAGCATCCTTATGATCCCATCCCATCTCAAAAGCACTACCAGCTAAAAACAAAGGCTTTTAAAAGTACACAAGCTTTTAAAAGAGTAGTCCTTATTCCAACTGCAGCAGTAATCATTCCATGACGCTAGACAGATGGCTAAAATGTTAAGAATGTTTGCTTCCTGAGAAAAAGGGGAGAGGGGAAGGGGTAACAGGTTGCGAGGGTGGGACTGGGAGGAGAGGATAGGGGGCTGAATTTGGGATGTGAAGTGAATAAATGAATACACTTATAGAAAAAGAGGCTAGAGATGTACATCAGTGATATAGCATTTGCCTCAAATGTGGAAAGCTATGAATCTAAACCTTTGCGTTACAAAATAAATACAGTATCACAATAAAACAAAAACAAAAATAAAGAATGCTTGCCCCTTGTACCACTGAGTGGATGAGCTGTGTTGCCAGTACCATGAATGATCTGCACTGCTGACTGTCTCCTGCATGCCAAGTTCTGTGTCTGCATGCTACTTGAAGTGTTTTTATTTCAGTACTCTACAACAGATTAGAACTTGTGGTTAAATTTCTTAGTGATTTTATCAGGCCAGCCTGTTAGTGAACATGGTACCAGTAGCCAAGCCCATATCAACAGCCTTCATTCCCCAATTTTCCTCCAATTATAAGCTGGTTCTGCCTATTTTGTTAAATTATTTTCCTCATATGCCTGTTTTCTCAGAATGACAAATATTATTCTCTAATCTAAATGATCCAATCTCTTCACTGTCTGTCTTACTTAGGGATGTTATTGCTGTGAAGAGACAGCATGACCACAACAACTCTTATAAAGGAAAACATTTAATCGGAGCTGGCTTACAGTTCAGAGGTTTAGTCCGTTATCCTCATGTAGGAAGCCTGGTGGGAAGCAGACAGACATAGTGCTGGAAAATGAGCTGAGAGTTCTACATCTGGATCAGCAGTCACCAGGAAAAGAGAGAAACACTGGGCCTGGCTGGGCATTTGAAACTCAAAAGCCCACCCTCAGTGACACACTTCCTCCAACAAGGCCACACCTACTTAAACAAGGGCATGCCTCCTAATCCTTTCAAAGAGTGGCATTCCCTGTGAGTCCATAGGGGCCATTTTTCATTCAAACCTTCACATTGTCCTATGATGGGTGGCTATAATTTTGCATTTTATTTTTCTCTCATATTTCTGTATCTGTTTGTCAGTGTCCATACCTATTTTCAAAGTATTATATTCAGACCTTGATTGTTCTGCATGTATTCTTATTAACAAATGTGAAATGTGGTTGATTTAGAAAAGAAGCCAAAAGTGACTTCACAGAACTTTCACAGGTTTTGGCTGCCTCTTGCTTTTATTTTATTTTTAATTTTTAATTTAATTTTATTTTTATTAATTACAGTTTATTCACTTTGTATCCCAGCTGTAGCCCCCTCTCTCCTACCCTCCCAATTCCGCTCTTCCTCTTCTTCTCCTATGCCCCTCGCCCAGACCCAATGATAGAGTCGATCAGGTCTCATCAGGACTGGCTGCATTGTCTTCCTCTGTGGCCTGGCAAGGCTGTTCCCCCCCAGAGGGTGAGGAGATCAAAGAGCCAGACCATGAGTTCATGTCAGAGATTGTCCCTGTTGCTATTATTGGGGAACCCTCTTGGACACTGAGCTGTGCAAGGGTTCTAAGTTATCTCTGCTTTTATTTTTAATTTTTTCTTTAACAACCACTTTTGGAAAACAACAACAACAAAAACCGCTCTGCAGTTAAGCCATATCTTCCACTTCATGTACTTCTGCACTTTTCTTTTTTAAGTTTAAGTGCTGAGTTTGCATCTGTCTCTGTAAAATTCACTTTAGTTAGATTTAGCAAGTTGTTCCAGGCTATTGAGATCTCTATCATCCAATTTATTGATACTCTCCCAGATAGGCTTCATCATTCAGGGAGTATCCACAGCAAAAGAACTAAGAGAAGGGTTGAGAAAGGCTTCCTCTTTCACTGATATCATTCGGTTAACAGAATTAAGCAATATGTTATCACATGGACTGTACTCTGATAAAGAATGGTAAAAAAAAAATAAGTGCTCATGAGGTCCAGTGCTATTGTCTTGTTTTTATTCTCTTAAATAATAGCAGACCTATAGTCTCATTTTCCAAACTAAAAAGATAAAGATTATAAACAGATCTCTTGGAAGGTACTATTTACACTGAAGATCCCAAGTGTATCCAGTACATAGTCATCAGAGATTTTTCAAGCTAATGTGAAAAAAAAATTATTTTCTTATTTTGGATGCTTAAATGTACTCAAACTGAAAATATGTAAATCAGGATACTCAACCTAAACAAAGTATTTTATACAAAATAGAAAGCAACAAGAATAAATGTTGATAATTGGCCATTAACAAATTTTCATTGACAGGAAGAGGCAGGGATGAAATCATTACCCAAACACATAGTACATTTGCACCTTGTTTAAGGCAAAACTAAGCAATGCAAATTATTTTTCAGTTAGTTTTATTTTAAATGTTTGCATATATAGTTGTTGCTAATACAGAATCCTGGAAGTCATGTATTCAGTTATTAACAAAGCAAGCCCGCAAGGCTTTTCTTCTTCTCTCTTTTCTTATCACAGAGTAACTTGTGTCTGTACAACAACATTACTTTTCATATTTTCTATGGTCTGGGATTGTTTTGATTTCCTTATGAAGGTGAAAGCTCATGACAAAACACTAATGTCTTTCTGTTATTTTTTTCTACCACCAAGTTATATTGAATTATACATTCAAAAGAACTGCAAGCAAGTTATATTTAAATAAGATGCATAGTATATAAATTACATCAGTAAGAAAATATTCATTTGTCTTATCTTATTTTTATTTGTTTAAGAAAAATTAAAGTTGAAGTGAATGGAAATTGACAGACAGTAACGAAGAGAACAGAAAAGAATGAATGTGCAGCTGAGAAAGCCCCCTTCTTTTACAAATTTTCCCATTCTTACATAGGTTTATTGTTCTTTATTATTATAGTGAAAATGTTTCCACCATCATTAATCATATATTCAATATTCAACTTCTGCAGGCTGAGACTACATGCCTTGCTGTATAAAAAGAGAAATCTAAGTTTGAAAAGAAAAGTAATTTTTTTCAATGCAAGGTAGCAAGATTACCAACTGAAATCTGGTCTTCAGCTTCTAAGTCTGGTGACCTTGTCACTAGAACACAGCTTCACTCACCTGCTAGCATCTTAACAAAAACAAGTTACACAAAACAGGGCTTCCAAGTCATTAACAGCAACAATCAATCTTAACTCTACTGTGAATACCATGCCAGCAATTAAAAGAGCAAAGATTATATACTAGATACGTCATAAGAACAATAAAGTTGTCATCTACTTGTGCATGGTAAATTCTTAGCTTCAAGTTACTTAATGCACTGGTTCCCATCTTCCTTCCTTTCTGTATTATTGTTTTCTTCCATACTGACACTATATTCAGACACCTTCACATGTTATACCACTTGGTTACATCTCTTACACAGTTTTATTTTATTTTGAGACATCTGCAAATAAGTTGCTCAAAGTGGCCTCGAACTAACATTATAACACATTCAATTTATGACTCTCCTGCCTCAGTCTTCCAACATCCTAGAATAACACAGTCTTATCATGAGGCCAAGCCATAATTTTCTTGAGCCTAAACAACTCTGTAGCTGAGGTGAAATTATTTGTTCCACTTGGAAGAGATACCAGCTTGGAAGTGGCTCAATCTATATTTTCTAGTGTTTGAAACTTTGAGTCTATTTCTTTAACCTTCATGAAAGAGCATAGTTCTACTTGTTCAATCATTTACTAGTGCACAAAATTTAATATATCCACAGAACATTTATTTACTATGCTTACAGGAGTCAAAGGACTGCTGGTACAGGAAATTCAAAACTAGAGAAGAGAGTATAATAGGGTAAAAAGCTACCATTATATACTTTTATATGAAGTTTCTCTTTTATTCTACGATGTTAAACTGTTGCATCTCTGTAACTATGCTCTGTTGGGCTTGGTGGCTGATCCGTGGTAGAACCCTCTTCACTGTACTTCCCCTGACTGCCCACCATATTTGACACTATCTTCTGCCACATTCTTTTTTTCTCACTAAATACCCCCCGTACACAATTTCGTGCTTTCAATTCTTATTTTCAGAGGATTTTTCAATTTAGTCATATGGTTTTGATTAATTAGTACCTCTGTATGATTAATTTACATGGTAAACACTGTAGATAGAAAAATGAATTGTGAGACTTAAAATACTCTTACTGTACTATGCACAAGTTAGATGCTAAAATAAAGGAGAACCATCCAGATGCCTGTGCTCTTCAAGAAGATAAATGAGAGCATTCGGTCTCACTTCTGATTCTGCCTAAGTAGAAGGAAATGAAGTCTCTAGAAGTTATAGACAGAAAGGGGTACTAGAGCTGGCTTCTAAATAAGCAAGGACTTAATAGAAAACTAAAGGTACAATGAGCACAGA